ATAAGGCCACTTCGTCTCTAGCAGATAGAAATACCTTAATTCAGCACTAACGGGGCGCCCAACATTGACGGGTGGTGTGGTATGACCGGGACTTCCTATCTGCCGCATTCTGCGGCAGAATGTCGAGCGATCGCACAGGTTAGGCGCCCGACTGGGCCGGCCCACGCAGGCAGCGTGCAGTGTTAAAAAGGCAACGAAAAACTCGAAGCGAGAGCTAGGACTCGAGCTCGCGATCGTGCTTTTTTATACGAAGCTAGCTAGCCACCACGACTAGTACTGGTCACAACGGCAGGTCACATTATTTTTCCTTTTTAAATCTTTTCTTGTTAATTCTGAATATATTTTTAAAAGTCCAAATGTTTTTGGCAAAAATGCACACGAGTTTCAACAAATGGTCGCAATTATTCGAATTTTAAAAACAGGAACAATTTTGCAGTTCTGGACAATTTTTTAAAAAGGAACAATTTTCAAAACTCTGACCTATTTTGTTAGACACGTGCAAAAAATTGAAGTTTAAAAAACATGATTTTTTGAATTGTGAACCAAATTTAAACAGGGAAATAATTTTTTAATTTGTGAACAAATCTTGAAAGAACGGGTACATTTTTTTAAATTCCGAACATTTTTTGACAAATCACGAACAAGTTTGGACAAAATGCGAACTTTTTTTGAATTTGTGAATAATTTTCAAAAAATAACATTTTTAATTTGTGAACTAATTTTGAGAACAGGAATTTGTTCGAATTTGTGATTTCTTTTAAGATATGAACATTTTTTTAGAATCACGAACAAGTTTTAAAGATTTGAACAATTTTTTAATCTGTGAACAATTATAAAAATGGAAAGCTTTTTGAATTTGTGAACAAATTTTGAGAATTTTTAAAAGGTGTGAACAATTTTTGGATGTGTGAACAAATTATAAAAACAGGAATTTTTGAATTTGTGAACAAATTTTGAAAAAAAAGATATGAACATTTCTGGAAAAGATGGACATTTTTACGTCTGCAAACATGTCCAAACTCTGAACAAAATTTGGAAAGAGTGAACATTATTTGTAATTTGTGAACAATATTTTGAAAGCGGAACATTTTTTAAATGCCAAACATTTTTTAAAAATGCGAAGGTTTTTTGAAAAGAAGAACATTTTTCAATTTATGAACAAAATTTTTAAACAATAAAATTTTCTTAACTTCTGAACATTTTTATTATTTTTTAATTCTGAAGGAAAAAAGAGAAGGAAAAGGAATTAAAGAAATAAAAAATGGAATATAGAAACGGCAAAACGAAAAAATAAAAATAAAGAATGAAAAAGAATAAACAATATTGAAAGAAAAATAAAAAGAAACAGAATAAACCAGGGAAAACTGGTTCAGGAACCTTCTAGAAGGTTCCCAAAACCGCTCAGGAACCTCCTAGAAGTTTCCCAAAACCGGACACTGTAGCGCATCTGTGGGCTCGTAATTGGGCCGGCCCATCTCGGTCGCCAGTCGCTGGCATCTGTGCGAAACAGTGGCAACTTGACACAATGTGCGTCCGTTAGGAAATTCCGGTATGACCGTCAGTAGAGATGGACTGTCCATTCAGTTGGATCTTTGGGCCCCATGGGTGCCCCTCCATTGATGCCCAACTTAAGGGCCCATTAGTGAAGGTCGTCCTACTTGGCTCGCATTTTGTGGCCCATGAGTGATGAATCTCTCTACCGACGGGCCCAAGTGGAGGGGTCTATGGAAGGTTCATTCTTCATTCTGCAATAGTAATTTATTGATTCGTTCATGATAGTTATGGATATTTTGTGAATATCTGGGCCATGTTAATTATCATTAAGGATTCATAAAAAATAATTAACTACATGCAGGAAATTCAAAAAAAATGGAAGAATATAAGATTCGATTTGCAGCTCAAATCTATGAGACAGTCACACAAGAAGATCACGACATCTACCTTAAATGACTAGATTTTTAGAAAAGGAGAAGGACCCCCGGCCTCTGCATCTGGGCGATGCATACAATCATTTTATTAATTATTAGCACAAGACCTTACAAAACCATACAACAATAAGACTAAAGCCACCGTCTAAGCAACATCTGTCGCTAATCCAATCCAGTTGATGAAGGGGCGCTGATAGTCTGGGCCTAATACCAAAGAGACATCGCAGCCAAACCTAACATCTAAGACCTGAGGTCCCAACCAGGACTCCTGCCGGGCATGGGCACCCACCAGTCCAGCGTGCTCCTCAACCAGGACGCCTGCCGGGTATGAGGCCGCCGCAGCCACCTGCCACCAATCCATCTTCAGAGTTGTACTACTGCATGTACCTTGCCCGGTCTAGCTGCCGCCGATGCCACCACGACGCCAGAGAGCGTCGACCTCCTACGCGAGTCCATCATCGCACATCAAACGCCTAATTTCCAGGGTGCCATGCCATCGAGATCCGACACCACCAATGTGTATGATGAAGCACCGCTCCTCCTCTTATCACCTCCAGCCATCACTTGCTCCAAAACGATGCCCCGATGAGGGAAAGCGATACTAAGAACGCTATTATCGTCCGATCCGGGAGACCCAGATCTAGGGTTTCCCCCGGAGCATCCCGAGCATGATGATGCCAACTGCAATGACGATGTCTCGACAAGGAAACGACATCAAAGACGCCGCCATCGTCCGCCATGACCGTAGTTGGCGTAATTTTCATCGGTAGTTGCGACACCGGGCGTACGCCGCATGCCTCGCTGGTCCCTTCAACCATAGCAAACTCTAAAATGATGTCCCGAAGAGGGACTACGACGCAAAAGCACTGCCATCGCTTGATCCCATGGATCTAGGGTTTCCCTCGGAGTTGCTCGAGTTGTCAAGGACTAGACAAGGATGGAATCCCGCAGATCCGTCCAGCTGCCGACATGTCGCACTTGCCATCGCGCCGATCGTGACCCGGAGACCAAGCTCACACCTGGTCCTAGATCCGGCCACGCCACCGCCGCCGACCCTGGCAACCGTGTCGCCCCAGATCTTGAAGCCGCCTGCCATGAGGTATGGGATCGCAGGAGCGCCGCCAGCCCCCGTCATGACATCCAGATGCACGCCACGCTCCAGCCCGGGGGCGCTGGTCCGCGCCAGCTCCTCACGAGCGGGAGGGCACCTAGTCCCTGCCGCCGCCGGCGACGGCAAGGCTTTGCCCGGCGGCGCCCTCGGGCGGCGGTGAGGGAGGAGGGGACGAGAGGGGGAGTCGGGGGCGACGGGATCTGGGGTACTCCCAGCCGCCGCACGGGGACGACTCGGGAGGATGATCACGATGATCGTCCTACATGATTGCCATATCACTGAGTAGTCATGGTCGATTCCATCATTTTGCAGGTTGCTTCATCATCATGAAATGAATGAACATACATCTACCATTTTTTGTGGTCTATATTCACTCACCATATGTAATTTATGAGTTCACTGGGGACGGCATGAACTGAGCAAATGGATAACAGAGGGATCTAAAACTTTAGCTCATAGATTAAAACAAAGTTATACCTTGCCTGGACAGCCAGTTAAATAGCATTTCCTATACTAAAAATCCTCCAAGGCATGTAAATGATTAGGTGTAGAAAATAGTACAACACTTTTGTGTTCCAATGAATAATTGTGAATAAAGTACATAAAGGTCATGATGACACACATCATACATGCAGCAAGTATACGTTAGTTACCTGTATAAAATGTTATAAAATGAAGTACCAAAGATTAGAAGCAAGCATAACTGGTTGACAAGTTTTGTATTATAAAAGTGGATAAAGGATGTACTATAACATTCGTTATGCCTGTGCCACTGAACTTAAATCGCAAATCAACAAAGGGAGTTCTTCGTGCACCTTTCAAGCGTTACCTTTAGCAAGATGAAACGAAAAGAATAATACAGTAATGCAAGGCTGGAAAAAGGATTGTGGCAATCACACAATGACATGGACGACTGAAATTTTGGGCACACACAACTCATCCAACGGCCATGCCTCTTACACTAATCCGGAGAGATAAGGAAACCAAGCAACCAACGAACGCCAGCCACCCCTTCCACATCTTGATTAAAGATAGGAGCTGGCCATATATGGCTATATATACCGTGGTGACCCAGCAATGGGGGCCAAGCTTAGCCTGCCACCTTCTCTCCTCCAACACCATGGCCCCCACTGTGATGGCTTCCTCGGCCACCTCCGTCGCACCCTTCCAGGGTCTCAAGTCGACCGCCGGCCTGCCCGTCAGCCGCCGCTCCAGCAGCGCCGGCCTCAGCAGCGTCAGCAACGGCGGAAGGATCAGGTGCATGCAGGTATGTCGGTCACTAATTAAACTGATATGAGTTTCTTTGTCAGTACAAGTAATTCACTTACAGAACATCCCCAATGTATAACATAATTTGGTCAATAGATTATTCCGAAACCTTATTATCTGTTTGGTTTGTTGCCTATGGAAACCATTTGGCTTTGGATGCTCATTCAGCCTTGTCCATAAGCTGGGATCCGTATGTAAAAGCCATCAACTCATAACTTAGTGAATGGAAATACTCTTTATTGCAGCATGGACTAGATAAAATTATCTTAGTACCTCCAGAGTGCCCATCAGTTTAAGGGCTACCCTTAAGCTTTCTTCATTGTGGACAAACGAACAATACATATGAGACCTGCCCATCAGGAGCAATTTTTGGCTTATCAACAGATTTTTCTAGCATTGTTGGTACAATTGACTTAGCACCAAGTATTGAGCATCTGCGCATTCTATTCATTCAGGTGTGGCCGATTGAGGGCATCAAGAAGTTCGAGACTCTGTCTTACTTGCCACCCCTCTCCACGGAGGCCCTCCTGAAGCAGGTCGACTACTTGATCCGCTCCAAGTGGGTGCCCTGCCTCGAGTTCAGCAAGGTTGGCTTCGTTTTCCGTGAGCACAACAGCTCCCCCGGGTACTACGATGGTCGATACTGGACAATGTGGAAGCTGCCTATGTTCGGGTGCACCGACGCTACACAGGTGCTCAACGAGGTGGAGGAGGTCAAGAAGGAGTACCCTGACGCCTATGTCCGCGTCATCGGCTTCGACAACCTACGCCAGGTGCAGTGCGTCAGCTTCATTGCCTTCAGGCCACCGGGTTGCGAGGAGTCTGGCAAGGCCTAAACTACGAGTTGAAACAATGGCCTATGTATGAAGGTCTTTTGTGAACTTCACTTTTGTCCACGACTCTGCTGGACGACCAGAGCATATTTTTCATTCTATATGGTCTGTGTATGTATGTACGAACATAGATTCTCGAGCATGCATATGTAAATTCTAGAGCCGGCTACACATATACAAAACCTGTGTGATATTTATTATATAAAACATGCGGACCATTGTCTTGATGTTATTAATTCATGGAAAAGTTTCTTTATTTGGCACTGCAATGAATATGTCACACAACTAGTTGTGGAAGCATTCAGTATTTGACATTAAGATCCCCTGATTTGCAGTTGCAAATTTCAGTTTCTTTACTTATATATCAATACAAAAAGATTATGGTTTCTTTTCCATGTCACTACCAGCATCTACATCGGTTTTGCTAGTAGAATAGGATGAAAGATATTCTTGTAGAGACCCTTACTAAAGAACTTTTGTTGGTCTGGATAATAAGCATCTAACTGAACTAGATAGCAACAGCATTCAAAACATGTTATGGAACTATTGAAATAAATCTCCAACATGCATTGCATGAGCTCCTTTATGGCTACATGCATAGCCCAGATGCGGCCGGGGGTACATCCTCCTTTTCAAAAAAAAAGAGCTCCTTTGTGAAGGAGTGTAATCATACTAGTGAAAAATCAATAAAAATCTTGAATTTTTGTAACTACTATGGAGCAACAGCTCCAGTCCTTTATTCCATCAAAACAAAAGCTAGCAAAAAATGTTTACAAAGGGAACCAAGAAAAAGGAAAAACCACACTTTCCTACCTACCTATTTATCTAATGGAGATTACAAATCCAATCCAGGAGCTTTGGTAAGCATTAACTCTATCTACAAGAAGAGATGTCATGTACAAATTTACAACACCAAGCAGGAAAGGTTGGCCTCTTCCCTATGAAGCTTCGGGCTTACGCACCAATTTTCTCAAGTGCTCTGCCACCCCTATTCAATGTGATGATACCGTGGCTGATGTTGTTGGTTCGACGCTGACGTGCGCGGTCACCACCTTCCCGATCGTCTACCTTGGGATTCCTGATGCGGGACGCCTCGGAAATGATCTTTCACGGTGCCAAAGAACTCACAAGGAGCAGCAACAAACTCACTCGATACTTGTTTCAACAAACTTTGTTTCTCTCAAGGGGGAAGAACAAGAGGAAACACTCTCAGGTAAATTACAGCGGATAACTAGCTGGTTTACAAGGATGCAACCCAAACCATGAAGCTTGTGAACCTATGAAGAATCACAAGAGGGAACCACAAGGATCCTATATGAATTGAGGATAGGCCCTCCAATCCACACACACGAGCTAACACTCGACGATACTAGTGCTCGCAGCACAACACAACATCATCGGCTGTCTACAAACATAAACTCAGAAATCTCATCCCCCCTCACATGGAACAGCCGGGGAGTATTTATACAAGAAGCACCCACTAGTTAGGTGTGAAAACAACTCAAAAAGAAGGGTAAATTCGTGAGCCCCAAGCTGTAGCAGGAGCAAACTTGTTGAGCCTCGCGCTGTAATAAATTCCTGGACAGCTTGCATGGAAACTTGCACAACTTTTGACTCAAGACCTCAAATGATGCATAGTTTTTTTTAAATGAAAGCTGACTTCCAAGACCATCTCTTGTAGCCTCTATAAAGTGCTAGAGACTTCCACAATTAATTAGGTTTAGGTGGGAAGTTGCTGCTGGAAATTTGATGTGTCATTTCCCCCAAAATAGGCACCGGAAGCTTCCCAACAAAGATAATGTTTTTTCCCTTGTCTTCCTTTGGATGCTCTAATGGTTCTGCATTTGTGCTAACCTCATTCTTGGATACCTTGGTCATGATCTGGTCCACATCATCCTCCCTTCCTTCAAACAAAACCATCCTCGGTTTTGAGGTATTCTTTTTGGGCTTCTTCACTTGTGGGAATTGCTCAACCTTGAGTACTTGATCCACCCTAGGTTCCAAGACATGGTTCACTCCTTGATGCATGAAAGAATACTTGTTAGACCTCCCATGGTGAGTAGCATCATGATCAAACTGCCACGGTCTTCCCAAAAGAAGATGACAAGCTCGCATTGGCACCACATCACATACCACTTTGTCCACATAACTTCCCACTGAAAATTGCACCCTCGCATGATGCGTAATCTTCAACTTACCAACACCATTCAGCCACTTCACATAATATGGCTGGGGCTGCCTCCATGTTGACATCCCAAGAGCATGCACAAGATCACTACTAATGATGTTGTTGTAGCTGCCTCCATCGATGACCACCTTGCAATTTTTGTTCTTGATCTTGCAAATGGATTGGAACACATTTTGTCGCTGGCCCTTCTCAATAATAGGAGCATCATCATGAGCCACTTTGCGAACCATGAGATTAACACCATCTCCTCCATCTGAACTCAGAGGTGCTCCAGTCTCAAAAGTACAATAATTTGCATCTTTCTTCTCAGATTCAGATTTGTCACTTGAGTCATCGGTGACATATCCATCATTTGTGAGTAAAACCTTCTTCAGATTAGGACAATCCTTCTTGAAGTGACCTCTACCCTTGCATGTATGGCACTGAATATTACTAACGCGAGTGGCAGAAGTATTGGAAGATTCAACCTTTGATGCATTAGCTTCCTTTGTAGTCATCTTGTTGTGTGAGCGAAAATCTGCAGCGACACTTCCGTCTACTTCTCGTTGAGCTGAACTTCTCCAAGTGCTTGATGTATAGGTTTGGCTGCGATTTTGGCGACGCTTCAGCTGCTGCTCTACACGAATAGCTTGATGCACAAGTTCTTGCAAATCTTGATATGTAATCATCTCTATCCTTTCTTGCACATCTTCATTCAGTCCATGAAAGAATCTTGACATTGTGGCCTCCTCGGGCTCATTCACCGTTGTCCTAATCATCAAAATCTCCATCTCTTTATAGTACTCATCAACACTAGAATTACCTTGGCACAACCGTTGGAGTCGATTGTACAAGGTTCTTGTGAAATATTCAGGAACAAACCGTCTCCGCAACAGATCTTTCATTTGCACCCATGTCTCTGGACGACCTCCAGCACGACACAATTGGTTCCACCAAATCAAAGCATATCCAGTAAACTCAATGGATGCATATCGTACCTTCTTCTCCTCCGTATAGCGGTGGTTGTCAAAAATCTAATCCACACGCATCTCCCACTCCAAATAATCATCGGTCTCGGTTTTCCCATTGAACGATGGTATGGTAAGTTTGAATTTACCAATCCCATCATCTTCATGGTCACGATGAGCACGCCCATGACCTCTTCCTCCCATGGCAAAGCCTTCTTGGCCTTCTCCGCGATGATCATGATGAACACGTCATGGTTGAGGCTCGTAGTAGTTTCGAGCATCATCGGAGTGGTCGCTCCAATGCTCTCCATGGTGGTCCTGCTGTATGGGGAGTTGTCGATGTCGAACCCGTTCCACAAGCCCATCTCATGGTGGTGACAGTGGTGCCCAAGTAGCACCTCGCTGGTCATAGCAAGCACGCCGAGGTGGTGCAGCGTAGTAGCTATGAGCATCACCCGAGTAGACGTGGTTGTGCTCTCCATGCTCCTCCTCAAGGTGGCGTTGGCCCTGCTGTTTGGGGATTTGTCAATGTCGACCCCGTACAGCAAGCCTATCTCGACGGAGTTCCTCGGTGAGGGAGTCGATTATCTGGCCAAGGTTGGTCTCCACGGCCGATATGCGCCTCTCCACCTTGTTCAACACATACTCTCGTGTATTCTCCAATGCCAACACATAGGCGGGCTGCAAGCTTGGATCATATACGGGGAGTGGCAGCTCCTCCTCCACGAGGTGCCGGCACCTCCATGCACACCATCAACACTGCTGGATCTCCTTGAACCCATGGAAGCTTCTCAAGAACAAAATCAGCAAGATAAAAAATTGCACCGCGAACAACCTAAAGCTCTGATGCCAAGATGATGTGGGATGCCTCAGAAACGATCTTTCACGGTGCCAAAGAACTCACAAGGAGCAGCAACAAACTCACTCGATACTTGTTTCAACAAACTTTATTTCTCTCAAGGGGGAAGAACAAGAGGAAACACTCTCAGATAAATTGCAGCGGACAACTAGCTGGGTTTACAAGGATGCAACCCAAACCATGAAGCTTGTGAACCTATGAAGAATCACAAGAGGGAACCACAAGGATCCTATATGAATTGAGGACAGGCCCTCCAATCCACACACACGAGCTAACACTCGACGATACTAGTGCTCACAGCACAACACAACCTCACCGGCTGTCTACAAACATAAACTCAGAAATCTCATCCCCCCTCACATGGAACAGCTAGGGAGTATTTATACTAGAAGCACCCACTAGTTAGGTGTGAAAACAACTCAAAAAGAAGGGTAAATTCGTGAGCCCGAAGCTGTAGCAGGAGCAAACTTGTTGAGCCTCGCGCTGTAATAAATTCCTGGACAGCTTGCATGGAAACTTGCACAACTTTTGACTCAAGACCTCAAATGATGCACAATTTTTTTTAAATGAAAGCTGACTTCTAAGACCATATCTTCCAGCCTCTATAAAGTGCTAGAGACTTCCAGAATTAATTAGGTTTAGGTGGGAAGTTGCTGCTGGAAATCTGATGTGTCATTTCTCCCAAAATAGGCACCGGAAGCTTCCCAACAAAGATAATGGTTTTGACCTTGTCTTCATTTAGATGCTCGAATGGTTCAGCATTTGTGCTAGCATTAACCTTACTCTTGGATGCCTTGGTCATGATCTGGTCCACATCAATTCCCCTCTCGGTCCGCAAGACTCCCACATCGGCGCTCCTCCCACTGTTGGAAAAACTTACCAAGAAACTCGCCACCTGGAAAGCCTCGCTTCTCTCACGCACCGAGCGACTCGCCCTCGTGCGGCATGTCCTGTCTGCTATACCTGTCCAAATTCTCCTCTTCATGGTCATCAACCCAATGATCCTCAA